CAGAGAGCAGATAAAGCCGATGATTGGACTTTTAGAGTACTAAGACTCAGCCCTTTCTCTAGACCTGTATGAAGAAATTGTAGAATGTTAATGTTAGATGGCTGAAGAAATTCCACATTATTTTCTTGAGACCAGGAATGAAAAACTTCCCAAATCTTATGATAGCAGGAAGAAGTAGATACTTTTCTGGATTTTAGGAGAGTAGTTACCACAGTTTCTGGGATCCCTTGAGCTAGCAATCTCTCCTTTTCAAGAGCCATGCCCCCAATTTCAGCTGGCTGGGGTTGGGATGAACAGCTGGTCCCTGGATTAAGATGTTTGGTCTGAGAGGAAGAGGCCAAGGAGGTTCCAGGCTCATCTTGTTCAGTAGGGGAAACCAAGGTCTGCGAGGCCAGATCGGGATGATGGCGATGACTTTGAGACCTTCCTTCCATATTTTTCTCAGCAGTCGGTAAATCATTGGTAGGGGAGGGAATGCGTACCCCAGATCGAAATCCCATGGAAGAGACAGGGCATCCTGTCCTTCTGCTCGATGATCCGCATGTAGGGAGTAAAACCTCTTCACCTGAGTGTTGTTGTATGAAGCCATCAGGTCGATCTGGGGTACTCCCCACCGATGGGTGATCAATTGAAATAAGTCTGGGTGCAGTTTCCATTCTCCTTGGAGAATCCTTGCTGAGATAGTCCGCCAATAAATTTTCTGGCCCCGGAAGATAAACCGCCTTTAATCCTTGTAGATGTAGTTGCGCAAACCTCATTATTGGTGACAATTCTATCAGTAGAGAATAACTTCGAGTGCCTCCCTGATGATTTATGTAGGAAGCCACAGCTCTGTTGTCTGTATGTATCCTGACCCAGGCATCCCTTAATAGAGGACGGAACCCTATTAATGCCTTGAGAACCGCTCTCATTTCTCTCAAATTCGAATGGAGTTTTGACTCCTTCCATGACCAAGTTCCTTGGATCCAATAGTTGTTCAGATGTGCTCCCCATCCCAGAAGGCTGGCATCTGTAGTTATAGTAATCCAGTCCGGCTCTTCCAGGGGAAAACTACAAAGGAGGTGTTTTTCTTTTGTCCACCAATATAGTTCTTTCGAAATTCTCGGGAGTAAACGAATCTTCTGATCCCAATTTCCTTGTTTTGCTCTGAACTGTAGGAGAAAATGCCTCTGAATGGGTCGCATCCTCCACTGGGCCCATTTCACTAGGCCTATCGTGGAAGTAAGAGACCCTAACAGGCTCATGAAATCTCTTGCCGTGATGAAAGATTTTTGACGCAGACTTCTGATCTTCTTCATTATTCGTTGTTTTCTGTCTGTAGACAGTGATACCAGGCCATTCCCCGAGTCTATATTTGCTCCTAGGAAAATCATCCTCTGAGAAGGCACTAAAGAACTCTTTTTGGGGTTTATCAGCCAACCATGATCTTGAAGGTATTTTATGGTTATAGACGTGTGGACATTCACTATCTGACTGGAAGGACCTAAGATCAGAAAATCGTCCAGATAATGAAAAATCTCGATGTTCCTTGTCCTTATAAAGGCCACCAGAGAAACTAGAATCTTCGTGAATGTTCTGGGCGCCAGACTTAAGCCGAAAGGAAGTCCCTTGAACTGATAGTGATTCCCCGCAATCCAAAACCTTAGAAACCGGCGATGACTGACATGAATAGGAATCTGATAGTAGGCGTCCTTGAGATCTATAGAAGTCATCCAGTTCCCTGTCTTTATATTGGGCAGAATTGTGGCAATGGACTCCATTTTGAAAGTTCTTGGAACCAAATAAGTATTCAGAACTTTCAGGTCCAGAATTAGACGCCATTTCCCCTGAGGTTTTGGGGCCAAAAATATCGTAGAGTAGTGGCCTCTGTAATGTTCTCTGTAAGGGACTTTCTCTATGACCTGATTTTGAAGAAGTTGAGAAATAATTTCGTTCAGAGCCATTTCTTTTCTTCCTCTTGCCACTCTTGAACGGGTAAAGGAGGTTTGAGAAGGGAATTCTTTGAATTCTATTTTGTATCCTTCCTTGAGGATAGAAAGAACCCAAGAGTCTTGAATGCTTTTGGCCCAAACCGGATAAAAGAAGCGAAGTCTGCCTCCTATAACATCTGGCTGGGCCAGCAAATGTTCAGAAGTTTTTATTAGCTGGTCTAGATCCTCTTCCTCTAACCGGTTTTGATGAAGATGACTGGTAGCTTCTCCAATTAGAATTCCTGGAGAATTCTCTTCTGGGTCTATATGACCTGGCGTCTCGAAAGGATCGCTCTCTAAACTTTTTATCCTTCCAGTAGGAAGCGCTAAATCTTCTTTTCCCCTGGGGGAGAAAAGCTTTTCTTCCATCTGCCGCTTTATGGATCGCATCTTCCAGGACTTTACCAAATAGAAGGTCCCCTTGAAAAGGAAGCGCACATAGAGAGGCCTTAGAGGCGTAATCTGCACCCCAAGAGTGAAGCCATAATGCTCTTCTCGAAGCAACTGACAGTGCCATACTTTTAGCTACCATTTTAGTAATATCCAGGGAAGCTTCAGAACAGAATTCTGTGGCCAGCTTTAAATCTTTAATGCCCTCCATCAGGTGTTCTCTACGGACTCCACTGGCAATATCCTCTTCTAGATTATCAACCCATATTTTAAGAGCTCTGGACAAGGTGGTAAGAGCAATGGCTGGATGTAATGCTGACCCTAGGGCCAAGTATGCCTTAATCAGGTCAGCGTCCAATCGCTTTTCCATTGGCTCCCTTAAATATGCCATTGAATCTATGGGAAGAGTTGTTCTTTTTGCCATGTGAATGACTGCTGCATCAATCTTCGGAACCGAAATCCATGACTTGCAGTCCTCAGGTGCATACGGGTATAATCTGGGGACTTTGTTCTTTAAAGTCACCTTCCTCTCCGGTCTATTCCATTCTGCACCTATTACCTCCTTGATGGCCGAATGAACTGGAAAAGTAGGTCTGTTAGGCTTCAGATCTTCAAAATATCTATCAGACTCCTTCTTCTCCCTGCTTTCTTCGGGAATTCTTAATGTGTCTCTGATAAGATGAACCAACTTATCCACAGACCTGGAATCCAAAGATTTTGAGTCATACTCATCCTCTTCTTCCTCTGAATAGTCTTCCATCATATCAGATTCTTCTTCTGATTCCACATAGCTTTCCACTCTGGGACGCTTGGGGATAGCCATTTTACTAGAGGATTTAAATCCTTCAGCAATGGCTTCTGAAATCCATTTCTTTAAGTCAGCCTGTGGGGAACTTTTCTCATCCCAGTCCTTCGCTGCTTCCGTAAGGCAAGATCTGCACAAATTTTTTCCCGGAGGAGCCACTTGGTTGCAGTTTGCACATCTGTTGGATTTTTCTCTATATTTTCTGGGAGAATCCTCTTGAGATTTTTCTGGGCTGAAATTAAAGGCCGATATATTTTATATTATAGGCCTGCAATGGCACTCTTTTTCCCCCCTTAAATGAAATTTGACATATGCGGCTCACCTATGTCTTCTAGAGCGAGATCTTGAGGCAGAGGGAGAAGCCATCTAGAATAAAATATGCTTATTGTAAAAGAAACATTTAAGCAGCAAGAAAGATTTAATACACAAAAAAAGATTTTACCTTTAAACCAGATTCTGAACAAAAAAGGCAGCTTTCCTTAATATCAGAAGTTCATAGAAGAAGCCAGGATCAATTCTGAGTGATTTTGAAATTTTTCATTTTTTGGCGCGATATACCTTTAAGCGCGCAATTATTCCGCGCATGCGCAGAACACCCGCCGGACGCCGTCGGTACTGCGCATGCGCCAGAAGCCGAAGAGAGAAGAGACAGACCGGAGGAAAGCCCCTGCACCAGCTGATATCCAGGGAAGCTTCAGTTTACACAGAAGACTGATGCAGGTAAGCCAGGCACTTGTAAACTGTAAGAATAACCTCCAGAATTCTAAAACAAAATGAAACCAAAGAAAATTTATCAGAAATAAGCACTTACCCTAGGCTCTCCCAATAACTGACCTCAGATCAGGGGGGTTAGATGCTATAAGGGGGATTTTTAAGGTAAAAGCCGACCCCACATCCAAATTGAGACTTTTTCTCCTATAATAGTACATATGCTAATCTGTACTAAACTCAGTTAGTCCTGCCCGTGCAGGCTGTTTACTGAGTTCTTCAGATGAAGAGAGGCTGAACTTCATCTGGAGGCCCATGGTACACATGGGAAGGTGGCTCAAAATAAAATATCCTGTGTGTCCTGAAAGGACAGGAAAAAAAGACTGTGGGATAGAAGGAGGAGGGACCTTTTATACCCAGTCTGGTCCATATTAATTGATTTTATCCTGTCCTGTTCCTGATTAGGGCGGAGCTACCCATAAGTGATGCTGCCATGATTAGCCAGGAAAATACAATTAGCCAGGCAATGTTTGTTATTCCATTTGATGAAGTCTGTTGACAAAACGCGTTATGGATATTTTATACTGTGTATTTTAATATTAAAGTAATTTTTGGTCATTTATTTGTGCCAACTATTCTTTTTTCTAGTTTTATATACACATTATTCTTCTCCTTTTTTAACCTGGCTTTTTAGTATATTTTAGTATATTTTTTGTATTTTACTATTATATACCAACATCTACTTCGGAAGTCTCCTGCATTCCAAGAAATCCTAAAGGTGGGGATCAATCCACCTATGCTGATACACAAGAGCAGTTGGTCTGCTCCTCATTTGTAAGTACGTTTTTATCTACTTATATTAAGACCACTAAAATAGTGAGCACTATCGGTTGTCTCTCTTTTTCCTTATTTGAGAGTTGGACACCACTGACGGAGAGAAACCCACAGCATATCCCATAAGCAGGGATCATACCGCCGTATGCGCTTCTATCCTAGAGCTGGACATAAGCTCTATTAAATGTGAGTTCTCAAATATTATCTTTCCATACGTCACCTTTGGAATTATACAATACTGCACTATTGGCCGTCCTTCTCTCTCCTTTTTTGTCTTCTATATGAGTGGAACCTATACAGCTTATGAAGACTTCACTGCTGCATCACTTGCTATAAAGACTACCCGCAAGGACACTTAAGTTGATCTTTTATTTTTGTATTTACTTATTCCGTTGGACATTTTTACTTGTAGTTACTCTATTTTATTCTCCTATTGGCGCAGCCTTTTTATTGTTGTTTTTATTGTCTTGTTTTAAAAGGGCCTGGAGGGTTTCCCTTTTTAAGGTTGCTGCCTGTTAATTAGCGCTGTCTCTCTCTCCTTTATCTATTTTTACGTGTAAACAATGGTCACCAAATCTACCTGAACCTTTTGAGCAAGTGGATTTGATTTCATACCTGCCAAGATTTTGGATTTTGTGAATGACATATCTTCCTTTTTCAAACAACTTAAAAGGAACACCCCAAACTCCCTTTTTCACACTTTAAAAAACAGTTTGTTTTTTTGGGCCAGTTGCCAGATCCTTCTCATTTCTGAGCTTGATATGGATGCAACTCTTGATTTAAGCAAATAAATATGGGAGAGAGGATATAAATGTCACACAATTCGTCTAATTTAAGATGGGGAACATGGGAACTGACTCTCTGTCCATGTGTATGATTAGTTGTATTTCAGATGGGTAAACAGTGCAAAATGGACATTGTGAGCATGACTGATTAACCCCTTAAGGACACAGCTTCAGAAGCTTGTCTTACGCTTAATGACACAAGCAATTTTTGCATTTTCTTGCTGTATGCGTTCAACTGCAATTTGCATCTCTCTCGTTTATTGCACCGACACATATTATATACTGTTTTTTAAAGGACAGAAAGGGCTTTAATTTGATGTAACATATATATATATATATATATATATATATATATATGGTTATTTATTATTTAAAAAAAAAAATGTGTTTTTTATACAGTTTTTGCAATAATAATGTGTGCCTACTTAGTGCAGGTTAAAGAAAGTAATTAAAAATAAATTCATTTAGTTGTTCTGATTTACAGAATATATAATGTGTCTGGGATTTTAAGTTTTTTTTTTTTGGTAGTTACAGGTCACAAACCACAAGGAGTAAAATAAACTTTTAATGTGGAGCGTCTTTAGAATTTGGTATGTTTGTCTTGTAAGCTTAATAGCCATAAAAGAAAACAAAATTGCCACACAAAAGTATATATTTATATAAAGTAGATATCACAGGCTATTGTCCTAAGGTTGTTTTGACACTTTCTACGTAGCCATTTCACCGCCAAGCTCTGCTAAATATTGGAGTAAAATTTAGTTTTTGGGGGTTTTTGGCACACAAACTTATAACAAAGAACTCCTCATGTGTATTTTGTAAAGTTTGTGTGTGCTATTCCTGTACAAAGTTTTATTTTGTGTTCAGTTACTTCTGTTGAGTACAACGATACCCCCATTGTATGTCTTTGGCACTATTTCGTGAAGCTACAGTGCCATATAGGAGACCTGTCCGTTTCAACATTTACAGTAGAATTTTGAGAGGCAGATTTAATGGGCCTATGCTTCAATTTGGGGTATTATAGCAGTTTGACTGTTCAAAAAACCCACAAAGGCCTACCATTTGTAAAAGTAGACACTCCAGGGTATCTCATATGGTGCATATTGTGCCTTAACATGCCCCCATTTTTTCACCAATATATGCCAACGTATGTGGTAAAAAATAATTTTGGGCATTTTTTACATACGGATTAAATTTTTGCTGGGCATTTTGTACATTTCATATGTGCCACTAAGTTCAAACCCCCCAAATTATGCTCAGCTAAGTCTTCTGAGTAAAACAATATGCCAATGTATGACCTAGACACTATTTTGTGAAGTTACACTGCTGTAAAAGAGACGTGACAAGTTAAGGTTTTTAAGTGTGAATGTTCATGGAGGGTTTTGATGCGTCCGTGTCCCACTTTGGAACACTTGAGCAGGCTACATATTACAACTACACCATGAAGGCATACCATTTCTTAAAGAACACATCCCAGGGTATTTCAAAAGGCATATTTTGAACCTTAGCGTGGGATAATTTTTCCGCTAGCTTGTACCAAGTGTAGTGGTAATGAGCATTTTTTTTGCCTTTTTGACACACAAAGTGAATTTGCACAGTATATTTTGCAAATCGTATGTGTGCTACGACTGTATAATTCTTCATATGTTGCTCAGCTATGTCGGCTGAGTACAGCTATACCCCCGTATGTACCTTTGCCTGGTATATGTGGACATTGGAGGGGCACATTTGAGACACAGCCATTCCAGTTCTTTTCAAACTTAAAATTTTTACACTCTGCCCATGTCCAATTTTAGAGTATTTTACCAGGCTATATAATCCAAATAACCCATAAAGCCATAGCATTTCTCAAAGAAGACATCCCAGGGTATTTCAAAAGGCCTATTTTGAATCTTAGCGTGGGATCATTTTTCCGCTAGCTTGTACCAAGTGTAGTGGTAATGAGCATTTTTTAATGTATTTTTTTACTTTGTAAAACTTTTTTTACTTTGTATAACCCGTTTTTAAACTTTTTTTTACTTATTAAATGTTTTACACTTTCTTAACTTTTTTTTACACTTTTACATTTTTTTCTAAACTTTTCTTTTACCGTTAACCCCTAACTAGCAGTAAGCAGCACTAACAGTAAATTCCCTCCTTTCCCATAACTCCCACCAACTCCAGCTAGCAATATATATATAATTATAAAATATTTAAATTAATTACATAAATTGAACCCCTGAGGGTTAAAAAATAAAAGTTAATCCTCAGGGGTTAAAAGAAATTAGATTACAGTATAATACTGTGATCTGTATTTTGATCACTGTAGGCAGTGATCAACTGGTAGGGAAGGGGTTAATTTTTATTTAGACTGGGTAAAGGGGGGTGGTGTTTTATGTTTTATTTTTTTACTTAAACGTTCCTAAAACATTTTTTCAAACTTTTTTTTACCTTTTTAAAGCTTATTTTAAAACTTTTTTTAACATTAACCCCTAGTTAGCCTAACACAAAATTCCCCAATTCCCCACTAACTTCCACCCATCCCAGCTAGCTAAATATATAATTTTTAAATATTTAAATTAATTAATAAAATAAATTTAACCCCTGAGGGTTACAAAAAAATAATTAACCCTCAGGGGTTAAAAAAAAAAAAATAAGATGACATTAAAATGTATACCCTGCCAATTGATACTAGACAGGACAGGAGCACCGTTGATCGCCGCGATCGTGGCAATCTGGGGTTAACTTTAGTAAATTACGGAAATTTTCCATCAACGGTCCTTAACTGAGGACAAGGTTGACAGAAAATTTCCACCTGCGGTCGGGAAGGGGTTAATGGGCACCAAATGTTCTATACAGAAAATTGTATTTACTATGTTAAATCCATGTCATATAGTTTCTTTCTGACATTGGACCATGTAAATTAAAGTAGCATTGCCATTTTAGTTGCATAAATTATAAATAAGTCATCCACAATTTATCAGAATAGCCCTCCCCTGGTCACGCTCCCACTAACATCTCTAAAAGTGTCCCTCTTTGTCCAGTTGAAATGTTGGGAGGTGTGGTTAAGTTAAACTAGCAACTGATATTTTGTGAGAAAATGATAGGGGACATCAAACACTTGAAGTAAATTAACATACTAAGTGAACCTTAGACTTTCTCCAGAAAGAATGCTTATATGGTAAATGTAGTGGAGGCCTGATATTTCACAGGTTAACTCCACTAAGATCCCAGTGAGGATCAGGAACAAGTGATGAAAAATCTCATAAAGTAGTTATTCCAGCAAGCAAGGTAATCCAAGAATATCCCCATACAGATCCCAATGACTGGACGACACTCAGCATCAGGAGCAGAACTAACTTTTATTCCACACAACCTCCTTTTAAAGAATTCTCCCATGCAAGGGAGGGATTCACATTCATTAGTACAGTATCCAATGGAGTAGCAGTTACCTCCCACACATCTCCTCCCCTCAGTATGACACTTAATTCTATTACACAGGCTATAGTTTGCCCCAAGTTCTGGATGTACCCTAAGATCAGCAGATACACCAATACTTTAGGTTCCCCCTGGTAGCACTGATCTGGGTGACTAACATATCCAACATTCACCCTGATCAGACCAGGGGTTCGGGAGTTAGGTGGAGAGTGTAGTTTGACCGACTGCACACAAGGTGCTATCCGAAAAGGGTTCCATGTATTTTGGCCCTGCGGTCGGTCTCCATTTGGGAGTTGAAATACACACAAAAAGCTGCCATCCACGAATACTATTACATTTGTATGACTCCCCTCATTCGGTACTTTAAACTTACCGAATGGAGGGCTGATTCGCCTTCCCGTCCGGGAGTTATGGAGCTCTGGAGGTGTCAGCGGTGTTCGGGTAATTGAGTGTCTGATTTGAGTTCCAGACACTCGACGACCAAATACCGCTAAGCCTTTCGTGCGTAAGATGGCCGCCACGACGTGTTCGCATGCCGAACGGCGGCCACCCAGATACATACATGAAATACCTATTAACCTGCGGTTAGAAAGAAGTGCGAAGCTTAATGAGGGACTCACTTCACTCTGGGGTGGTCTATTGGTTCGGTAGTTTCCATTCGTATTCCATACCAAACTACCGAACAATCACATGAATCCTACTTACAATTTAACTAAACATAAGAAATATCACACGAATTGCAGTGGCATCATAGTCTTTAAGGACAGCCATAGTACCATCCACTACAGTAAAATAGTTAAAGGATTATTCCAACCACCACGAGCACTTCTGCTTTTAGAAGAGGTCATGGTGGTAGCAGTCTGTATGTGTGACATTTGTGTTTGAAGCGCTGCACATACAAGGATATTTGCACATTTGTGGGATCTAGTTGCATCCCCGGTACACATGACTTAGGCAATCCAGAACTCTGTTCCAGGCCTAATGTCAATTTTGGGCAAAATCCACTTCTGTCATCAATCAGTGCACACCGTGCACTGGCAACAGATGTAAAAAGATTCTCCCTTTGCAGTCAGCACTTTCAGCACTGCCTGGAAGGGAAAGCCTAGCTCTATGAGAAGCATTTAATTGAATCATGATCGTCAGATAGGAAGCGATATAAGGACGTGCTTAGAGTTTCGCCCATCGCTGAATTCCAGGTAATTTTATCTCTTTATTTTTAGGTTTATTAGTGGGGGAGGGACAAGTAAAAAATACTCAGTAGGGCATTCTGAATGAAACCGTAAAAAAGTAATTTTCACTAGCAATAAAAAAAGTAATAGAAAAATATGCATTTAAGATGTGTATGTAAAAATTAAATTACAGA